TGTCATTTCCCCACCTAACTGACTTCATCTCTTTGTCAAAAATCAATTGCCCAAAAATAGATGGGCTGATTTCCAGGTTCTCAATTCTATTCCATTGATCTATGTGTCTTGTCATTGTACCAGTACCATGCTGTCTTGACTACCACGACAGTGTAGTAGGATTTTAAGTTTCACTCTTTATTTTATCCTCTTCTGCTTGTTTCCTTTGCTCTACCTCCACGCACCTTCCTTTGGCATTATGCCCCCTGGCCACCAGCTAATCCCTGCCCCAGGGCCTTTTCACCTGCTAGTCCCCCAACCAGTCCTTGGGACATGGCTGGGGCTCAGGTGGCATTTCCTGTCCCCTGTGTAACCCTCCTGTCTTGCCCCAAATAGGAGCTTGGAAGACAGGTGGGTCCTAATGGTGTGAGTCTGGGCAGTAAGAACCTTAGTTTTCTCATCTGTAAAGAGAAGACAACTACCTCTCTGAGCTGTCTGAGGAATGACGACAATAATGCATGCCTGTACAGCAATTGGGGCATTTTGGGTAAAGCATCCATGTTTTTTAGTTTCCTATTATCTTGTGGCTGAGGGGAGAGCTGAAGTAAACCAAGAGATTCCATGAGTGAAAAAGAAAATTCCAGTGTTGAATGGGGAAATGGGTAACCAGGGCCCACCCCTGGATGACTTTCTGGGTTGTAAACACAGAAATCGAAGAGGCTTGGAAGGCTCCAGCCTGTGCCAAAGGCAGGGACTTGCTGGTTCCTTCTCCAGAGGGGAGGCAGATGGGGCCGGGATGAATAACTCCAAAGGCATTCTGTGTGACACACACCCCAGAACATTTACTAGGTTATCCGGACAATGAATAATTCTAGGAATCGGGGATGGGTCTACCCTGAGTCAAATGCTGTCAGGAAGCCCCTGCAGATTCCTAACCAAGTGTGGGCCTGAGGGAAGGGGAGCAGGCTAAGCTGAGGGCTGGGCTCTGACATCAGCAGCCTCGCCCCCTCTGGTAGGAAGCTGCTCCTGTTTCTCTGAACTCTTTCAGCTCAAACATCAAATGACTCTGTTATGATTCAGAGGGGGGACAAATCCACTGGCCAAAGGAACAGTAAAGATGAGCAAATTATGCCCATTTATCTGTGGACCCATGACTCCCACCAGAACCGACCCACTATTTTCTCTTTGGCATTAACAAAGAAACATTCACCTTGGCTCTAACTTTCAGAACCCCCAGGAAACAGAAGAGCAATGATATCCCAGGCTCAGGAAGAGGAGCTGGACGGGTCAGACGTTTCTCCCCATTTCTGGTTCTTTCCTCTCAGCTGGTGTCCCACAAAGCCCAGCAAGTCCCATCAGGGGCCCTGACTTACACTTCTGTCGTTATGAATCCGGTAAGCTCCGAGAGGAAGAGGAAGAGGATGAAGAGGCAGCAGCAGACAGAGACTAGAAGAAACAGCAGAGACGTGCACAGTTAAGGGGAGGTGCACAAAAAGGGAAGGCCAGCCCCCTCCCCTTCCTTCATCTTCAGACAAAAGCTGCTTAGAGCGAGGCCCGGGGAAGACACCTCTTCATTATGAAGTGGGTCTCACTGTGAAGCCCCATCCTCAGAAAGGCAGACCATCTTTGGTACTGGTCTGCCTCTCCCGTCAGGCCGACATAAGCAGATTAACTTCTGGGTAGATGCCAAGCTTTCTTCCCCTCAGATTCTTGAAAACAGAGATCTGGTCGCCAACAAATATGTTCTGTTTAGTTGAGTAAGATGTATATATTTTTAAAATGTACATCAACAATGGACAATACAGGGAACTCACATACAAGTCCAGACTTCCTGCTTCTCTGGGACACCTGTTCCTTGTTTCCACAGAGAGCCTGAGCGTATCATTTGCCACAGGCCCCACCACTCCCTCCTGCCTCCCATGGCTGAGAAAGAAAGCCCACGCGTTTTTATCGCTACATGGTATGTCCCCTTAGATGTAGGAGAATGAGGATACTGAAGTGTGTTAAGAAGAGGATGTGTAAAGGACAGAGTTGGCCCACTTTACTCATATTTACCTGGGGATATTTAAGTTTGTGAACCCTGCACATAGAATTAAGTCTTGACTCTTTGCAGTTCAATTTGCCAGTCCCATCTCCTGCCACTCCCCCTACACCTGACTCCCTAGCCACTCCGAGCCATATGTGCCTCTTCTACTACTTTGCTCCTGAGGTTCCTAAGCCTGAACACCCTTTTTTTCCATACCCCCTCCCACGAACTTCCTCCCAGGCTGAGGCCAAAAGTCCCCTTTTGGGAAGCTTCTTCAACTCTCAAGGTCACTCCTGTCTTTGTGTTTTCACATTTTGTTGGTTATCTGAGACTGTCTCCCTGGGAGGGTAAAACCCCTTCATTCCAGCACCTGGCCTGGCACACCAGAGACAGCACTGACAGGTGTCCATGTAGAGGGAGAAATCTACTGTATGAAACCAGAGCTGAACACACCTTCCATGAGTTTATCACAAAGGAGTGTAGCAGACAAAGGCACAGGGTCTCTACCACTTAACTGCTGTCTGGCCCTGGGCAAGTTATCTAGCCTTCTGTGCCTCCGGTGTCCTCATCTGTAAAATGGCAATAGTAGTACCTTGTCCCATTGGGCTGTTAGGAAGACATAAATGACATAATGTAGGCATTGTGCTTAAAATAGTGTGTGACAAGTAATAATCACGCAAGCACTGGCTAATTATCAGGGCTGGCATCAAGGAGATGGGAAGTATGGTGCTTTGCTTGGGGGAAGTGACTTGACAAATGGGTTAACCTTTAATTTTCCTGCAAAAACAAAATAAAACTAAACCCCAAAACTTCAGCTTCTCTTTCCATCTGCTGGTCTGGTGACATTCTCAAGAGTTTCACCTAGATAGACAGAGCCATCATCACGGCTACCCAGATAATCTTTTAATTTTTAAAAACAAATGGTTAAACATGTTCTGAACAAAGAGTGACAAGAACAAGCATTTGCTGAGAGCCTACTATGGGCACTTTTGTGGGCTCACCCCCAGGAACCACACTGATGCACACTCACATCCACACACCACACTTCCAGTCAATTCTGACTTCCTAGGGTTTTCCGGGGCTGATTTGTTAGATCTCCAGGCCTTTCTTCCAATGCACCTCTGTGTGAACTTGAACTGGCTTTTCATTTAGCATGATGCATGTTAACCATCTGCTAATAAAGGTCATGGAAATGGACATTCAGAGTAAGAAAGTGACCAGCCTGGGGCTACATTGTCCTGGGGAGAAGGGAGCAAGATTGTTCTAGAGCCCTCAGAAAAGGAACCCCCAACCTTAGGTCACAAGTGTAGGGCAGAATGTCCCAAGTTCTCACTCAGTTTCCAAAACCACACCAGACATGGGGCAAGTGGGTAGGCTGGATGGGTAAGCACTAGAATTATTTCCAGTCTCCTAAATTCTGAAAAAGTTGTATGAGACAGTACCTAAGGGATTTTATTTATTTAAAATAGATGATAGATGGTTAAGATTTTTAAAAGCAAGAAGTATGAAACTGCATATTATGTGCTTCCATCAACCTGACTGCTAGTTTGCTGGCCAGAGGCTGCCATGCTCCAGCCTGTGTGTCCTCTAGAAAGCCCATGGGCATATAAGCAAAAATCTTTTTTCTTTATACAAAGAGCAGTATCATGTATACAGCTTTTTTGTTGTTGTTTTTAATGTACCACTTAATTTTTATTGTGGTAAAATATAGATCAAAATACATATTCCTGTAAAATGTGATAACAAAATATGTCTGCCACCATTTTCACATAGAGAACACAGTGTCATCTCCAACATGTATTAATATTGTATTTCTCCTTATAACAAAAATCTTTTCTGAACCTCCAGATGCCTGTCCCATCGGTTGTAAAAACTGGTCTGGATGGTCAAAGGGGGGAAAGTAACTGCAACTAACTCATGTTGCTTGTAGCATGAGAATTCATGTTAAGTGATATTGTGTATATATTGTTATGTGCCATCGAGTCACCTGAGACCCACAGCGACGCTGTGTACCACAGCTCTGAAGCCTGCCTGAGACAGTCTCACTGATCCTGTCACACCTAAAACCACTGTCCCAGTTACTGTATCCATCCATCTCATCCGGGGTCTGTCTCTCCTGTGCTGTCCCTCCACCCTTCCGAGCATGATGTCCTTCTCCAAGGACTGGTCCATCCTGGTTACATGCCCAAAGTATGTGAGATGGAGCTTCAAAATCCTAGCCTTCAAGGAGAAACTTAATTTCATCCTCTCCTAGACAGACTTATTTATTCTCTTGGTGGTCCATAATATGTTCAAGACTCTTCTTGAACCACCACAACTCAAAAAAAAATATCTATTCTGATGTACATTTGAGTTTGTGAAAGGGAAATGAGTATTGGGCACTGGCATATTCACTTGCCCATGGAACCCAAATCTGGGGTAACTCAGTGCTTGCTGCTGGTGGGTGACATGTACCGGGAGATGTGCAGAACACACCCCTGGAGAGCTCTGGATCCAAGGGATGCCATCCAAGTGCTTGAGGATCTTGCATACAAGTTACAGGTCCAGGGCCCCAGGATACCTGTTCCTGGGGCTGGGTTTGAGGAGGTGGGATGCTGTTCAAGGGTGGCTGGAAAGAAACTGTGAAGTTTGTAATGAAGGATCCTGTGTAGGTAGATGTTCATAAGGGCATGACAAGTGTTGCTTCTTCGGTATTTGCTTGGCTGTATAAAAGTAATTCAGCATAAATACTCAAATTTTTTTTAACACTAAAGATATTTGAGCATCTGTAGATACTGACGATAGCTTCTCTGTCTCACTCCAACTCTGATGTCAGTCCCATTCTACAATAGTGGCACCATGCAGCACCTGTCCTTTTGTGATAGATATTTCACTCAGCAGAATGTCCTCCAAGGTGCACATTATGAATAATATTGCATGAGTTCCTTGTTTTTCAATGCAGTGTAGTATTCCATTGTGTAAATATACCAGAACTTCTCTATCCATTTGTTGTTGATGGGCACTTAGGTTGTTTCCAACTCTTTGCTATTGTAAGTAAAACCACAATAAACTTGGATGTGCATATATCTGCGTGGGTGGCAGTTATTGTTTCTTTAGGGTATATTCCCAGTAATGGAATTGCTGGGTCAAATGATATTTCTTTTTTCTTTTTTTTTCCCACTTCTGAAACAAAGGCTGGCTTTAATGCAGTTGAGTCACACACAGTGGAAAGAAACTCATTAACAGTAAGGTTGTCCAAATCCTTCTCATTTCTCCATAGGCTAACTTTCAGTTTTGCACAGAACAAGAAATTAGTATCTTGGGGATGACAAATAAGACGTGAAATATGATGTGCACTGAAGACTTTTTGAAATATGTCATTATTTTCACAATTTAGCTTCTGACAATGGAAAATGAGTTAATTGCATAAGTGCCCGAGAGCATCCTCAATAAAACAAAACACACACACACATAAAAGAAACAAAGCAGATATAAACAAAAAGAGAGAAAATTAGTATTTTAGAAATAGACTGTTCTAAGTGCATGGATTTAGTAAAATTATATGTAGTAAACATTTAAACAGATGCTATAACAATTTTATTTTTTTTTTGCCTTATTTATGTCTGGGGTCTTTTTGCTTCTAAGTGGTCTACAGAAAAAAGAAATTGAATTCTTTGTTTAGCACAGAATTTTTTTGTCATTGTTGTTATCTTTTTATGAGCTGAGACAGACAAACCTTCAGTTAGGCTGTGCTGCCAGAATCAGCTACTAATATATACTGCTTTCAGGTCTGTTCCAACATCATTTAATCATGAGAGTTACTTTTCTTCTTTATTAAACATTAACTGCTATTTGTCACTTTCTTGTGGACTCTGCTTTTGCTTGTTTTCTAGTTCTTTTTGTTTTGTTTTATTTAAATTTATTATTAATTTCAGTAAAAATTTACAGAGGCTTTGGATTTCCATTCATTCATTGTTGCACTTTTCTCCCCTCCCAACCCTCCCCTCTAGTACAATACCCTCTTGGAAAAGTAAACGGAAAATTCTTTCATTGTTTTACAAACCCTCCCCCAGGTCCATTCCACCGTGGAGCCCTCACTCTAGACTCCTGTCATGACAAAAATACCCAATCACATATCCTTTTTAAACCGTTTTCTCCCTCATTTGTTTCAATGCAGTATACATTATTGAACCCATTTTTCTCAGTCTCTCCCCAACCCCAAGGTCAGTCCTGTTTTACAACAGTGGCACCATGCAGTATTTGTCCTTTTGTGACTGAGATATTCACTCAGCATAATGTCCTCCACAGTCACCAATTTTGAATAATACTGCATGAGTTCCTCATTTTTCAATGCAGCATAGTATTCCATTGTGGGAATATACCACAGCTTCTCTATCCTTTCATTTGTTGATGGGCACTTAGGTTGTTTCCAACTCCTTGC